GATCTCTCCCAGTGGCTTCATATATATGTTAAATAGCATCGAGGACAGGATGGTGCCCTGAGGCATGCCATAATTAAGCTCCTTTTTTGCTGAGCAACTGTCCCTGAGCATCATCCTCTGGAATCTTCCCAAATCTGTTTTGACATATAGTGACCCTAAGGCGAACCTATCATAGGGTTCTCTTGGTAAAATCTTTTCAGAGAGGGTTTGCCATTGCCATCCTTTGAAGCCAAGAGAGTGTGACTTGTCCAATGTCACTCTGTAGGTTTTTATGCTGGAGCAGGGAATTGAACCTTGATCTTCAGAGTCATAGTCCAACGCTCAAAACACTACACCACACCTGATCTAGTGTTGAATCTGGCAGCATCCTTGAACAGCACATTTTCTAGATGGAAGTAAATAAATATATTTTCTTCATATTCAAGATGACTAAAAATTGAAAGAACTCCAAACTGACAATCTTTGTGATTTCAACCACATCTGTACCACTGGATTAGGACCACCACACTTTTTCCCCCCTGAGAGACTCCTCACTATTACCACCAAATGGCAAATAGATACAACCCAGATACAACTGGAGAGAATGCAGGCAGGAAAGAATTTTCTTTCAGTTTATTCTTAAAGGAATTTACCAAAATTTGAAACCTCTTGAGATAGGCAAGATGAAAAATCAAGTATAGCAGAAAACAAACCAGACAAATGTTTACATCCTTAGCCAGAAGGATAGTACTGTGATAGTGAAACATGATATCTACAAGACAACATTCTTTCATGGGCTTTGAGATTTGTGGGAGATCTTGGTACTACCACCTTCAGTTGTATATTTGTTGGGAACATGGGGAAAGGCCTTCTCAGTGTCTGTTTCTAGACTTCAGAACTCCCTTCCAGGGAAGGCTATGGTAGCCCTTCTGTTTCTGGCAGGCAAAGACATTTCTGTCTGGAAAAGCTTTCAATAACTGCCTCCCTGCTACAGACAAGAATTTTAGCAAATGTGATGACCTTACAAGTATTATTTATTATTAGTGAGATTTTTTTTAAAAAAAACACTATTTAAACTTTTGTTTGAATATTACAAATAGTTTAATTTTTTTTAAAGATGACTCTTCCTTACAGTGTTTTTAAACTTGTACTTTTTTAAAAAAGTGATGTTATAATTTTTTTTGGGTTAAGTGATATTATAAACCACAACCAAGATGCAAACCTAATAATAAAATATCAGACTAATAGGTAAAATAGTGTGAATGCCCCAACCTCAACAATATGCAATTCCTTCCTCAGATCATTAGAACTGCTGGAAAAAGAAACCAGCCCCCGACTTGTGGAATTAACACAAGCCAAATCTAAAATAAATGAATTAGAGAAACAAAATAAAGATCTAAAGAGTGAAATTCAACATTTAAAGAAAAACATAAGCAGAGAAACAGAAGAACGAATCAAGAATGAACAAAAAACAAGAGAAAGATGTGTTAAGCTCAGAGGATTACCTGAGCAAAACAATGAAAATTTATATGAAAGGTTAACATCAGCCTTGATGAAATTCATGGATAGAGATGAGCTTTATCATTTATTTGGCAAACAAATTATTTAGCATTTATGCTACATCTGTTCATTCAATATGAGTCAGGATTTTCACAGCACCGTGCACAGATGCTGTTTCCCATTAGTTTAGATATAATTTCAACCCCTCTTTGATAGCTTTTAGATTATGCTGCTCATCTTATCTCCACAATTACTGTTATTAGTATGCATTCTTACAACCCTCCTACTCTCTCCTTTCTCTGATAGTCTGCGACAACATTAATTCCACAGAACGAAAGTTATTTTGAAAATGACTACTTGGAGATAGATCTGAACTCCAAAATCACTGCTCTGTATACTGTGTAATTATCACACATGTCAAACTGAGTAAGTTGACATCTTTTGGTGAAGTAGTATCTAGCTCATAGCATGCTATTTATCTATTTTAACCAGCTAAATACCAAAGAAATTACAATCTTATAAGACTTTACTCTCTTGCACATGCTAGTGGATTTTTTGTTTTGTTTTTGTTTTTTATCTATGCAGAATTATTTCCTCTCTTGGTCAGAGCAAGTATGACCCACAAACTGGAATGGCAGGTGAAACCAGTCTATTTCACCCTGTGTTCCACAGGCTTAATCCCCCCCCCCAGCAATTCAGCTGATGTATAGAATGCTGTATTGCTCTAGAGATTCAAATGCTTTACAGTTTTGCATTTTCTTCCACAACCATGGCTTTATTCAGATGTTAGTCCTACGAAGTTCAGTGGGGTCTATTCCCAGGTGATAGAATATGGTCTTGTTGCATTAATGATAAGTTGATGACAAAATAATCACTATTGCTAACATAGGAACGAAGCTTAAATGAGTGCAGTGCTGACTTCCATGTCTGTGAATTTTCTCTGCACTTAGTCTGAACTTGAGCAGAACTAACCAAGATACTGGAATTAGTTTGTGGATAGGGTTCAGCAGAATGGGAGCTCTTTTAAAATTAAAATCAAGAACAGATTCACAGCTCTACTTTTTGGTGACCACTGCCACTGGATGGATGGGAGAAATGCTGATAGGTTTGTCACTGAGTTAGGCCAACAGAAATATATTTTCACTAGGGCCCTTAAACAATACAGGTGTATAGTACTATAACTCCACTTTAGCTGTCATGACATCATATAGAATTCTGGGGTTTGTAGTAGAATGAGGCACTA